GTATATATATATATATATATATATATATATATATAGATATATATATATATATATATATATATATATATATATATATATATATAATTTATATTTATGGTGGTAGGATGCAAGACAAGAGGATCCACACTATGGATTAGTAGAGAATGAAGGTGATTATAATTCCGTTCTTGGTTTTCCGCACGGTGGGCCCCGCATAATCGCTCTCCGCCTGCCGCCTAATCACCACCAGCACCAACACCACCACCACGAGCAGCAGCACCACCAGCACCACCACCCTGGGCTCCACAGCGGCGGAGCTGGCTCAGACCTCACCACATTTGCTTTGCTCGAGTAGAATTTTCTTTCCCAATAATAATGTTTTATATAAATATTTCTCCAATGTTCTTTTGTGTGGAATTTGAAGTACTAATTAATAATTAAACTATTTAAGTATTTTCTTGAAGGGAAATTATGTATGCCTACATGAATATGTTAGTGGTTATATTTTGATTGCTTATATCTTGGGAAGAAATAGGAACAATTTATGAATTTCGCTAATTTCGATTTTCGACTTTTTTTTTTGAATTTGGAACAATATTTGTATATTCAGCGTACCAACTAGCTAGGCTTCAGCCCGGTAACAACCCCCATATAAATCAGAAAAACTCGCGTTCCCTAAATACCTCACAATTATTTGTGTACGGATCTTATTGTTCCTTGCATTCTCTCTCTCTTTCTCTTCGTATTTGTTATTTATGTTATATTCTACAACTTCAAACCAAAGAACTAAAAATAAAATAATTAGACTCTATAAAATAAAATAAAATAACAAAAGAATAAAAAGAAATTGTCTACCTCAGTTATATCGGCCAAGGGCCCACAAAAATTACCTAGTACAAAAGTGTGGGCTATTGGGCCTAATGGGTTTTAGAATTTCCATTAACCCACCATAATTGGGTTTGGCCTTCGGGCCATCCACAAATAAATGGTTTAATCTCACTTTGGACCCTTGAGATAGAGCATTTTGTAATTTGCACCATTGAAAAAAATTAATAGCACTTCTATACCCTAAAAAATAATAAATTACAACGCATCTTGAATTAAATATTCAAAACTTAATACGGGCAAATATTTTTTTATTTTTATTTTTATTTTTTGTTCTTTTCCACTATGGAAAATAAAAAAACTAAATTGTAATTTTCTTCAAAATTCAATCGAATTTCGAGTACACAAAAGAAAAAAAAGTATATTTTCTTATAAAATAGACTTTTGTAACTAAATTATTCAATTAATGCATCATTTATTTTAATTCGTGAAAATATTTAATAGAAATCTTTAAAAGAAAATATAATTTTTAAATAACTTGATAATAAAATAGGTGAAGCAATTTCTTTTTGTGAAATATTTTTTTTAAGGTAGGTAATAATTTATAGGGTGGATTTTGTCCCTAAAGAATTCCAGGTCAGAATTGGGTCCATCCGACAGTGATGCTATGTAATCAGCTGTGATAATAGATTTCAATAATTCCTGCAGTGGAATTCCAGACAGCTTACTATATTGCCTCATTTCATTAATCTATTCTAACAGTCAAACCTAAGACACAAAATCAATATTATATTATATTATATTATATTTTATTTTTTTCAGAAAAAGAGAAAAGAAACCTTCATTAATTCAACATTTACTAAATCTTGAATTATTGTTATTATTATTATCATAATTTTGATTTTCTTAAATTGTATTTCAGAAATCTTATATTTTTGTAATATTATTGTATTACATACTTTATTCAAGCTCATTTGTAAATTGTAACAAAAACCTTTTTATTTAATTTTATTATCGACAAAAGAATTTGCAGCTACTCAGAATTTGGAAAGTATGCTCTCATATAGTAATCGTAAATTGCACGAAAGATATAAAATATATTAGTGTGATGAATTCGACCATTGTCTAGAGAGTCCAAACTCAAGTCAAATGATGCCTCGTTCTTTTACTTCATTAACTAACCACCTCGTATAGGGCGGTTATTTCTATATATATATCACATGAATAAAAAAATTGACATCTTCATTAAAGAAAACGACAAAGTACTAAATTTGACGCTATAAGACCTCGTATAATATATTACTATTTATCCTAAAATTAATTGGTGATACAAAATATACCTATATAACGTTATAGTTCTATGCACGTTAATTTATTGCGACCCGCCCAAAGTGGAGTATTTGCTACATAGATAATACTTTTCAAAATCTTCAACAACTTTTCACTCAATAATTGCCGACAAATTCAAACCAACATACACTCGTACAATCGTACCACGACATTCGATTACGAACAACATTTTATTATTTTCTTTAAAGACAGTGTATGTTTTGAAAATTGAGTTTGTTTTGCTAGTCCCGGAAAAAATAGAAACAACCTAGCCAAATAAATGAGTCCAATTGTAGTATTAAGTCTCTGATAATAGAAGTCAATCATCCTCAAAACAATAACTTATTTCGTAACGAATAAAATAAATAAATAAATAAATAAATAAATCTATACTTGCAAATATTATAAAGATTTTCAAGAAACTATTTGTGGGTGAGTGTGTTCAAGAAAATATAATCTTTGCAATTGTAGCCAATCAAATCTCATTAATTATAATTAATCCCATAAAAATCTTGTAGTTTCTATCAAGAAAGGAAAACATGTGGTATTTTTTTCCATTTATATAAATAAAAAGAAATAAAATAATAATAAATAAAAATTAAATAGAAGCGAATCTCCTGTGTTCCCCTGTATCGCGCACACAAAGGTCTTTTTCTCAAATATATATATATATATATATATATTTATTCGGCCCCCCTCATGTCTCACTCTCCCATATTCTAGAGAGAGAAACAAAAATCTAGAGAGAGAGAGTGGTTTTAAAATACAAGAAATACAGAAAAGCAGAAGCGGCGCACAGAAAAAAAAAAGCAGTTGCAGAAGACACAGAAACAACCATGGGAGCTATGGCTCCGCCTCCTCATTGGTCTCCCGTAGACGACCTTGTGCTTAAAAACGCCGTCGAGGTACAACTCATTGAAACTCCATTTTTTTTTTAATTTCTGATTTTTCCCCATTTTTTGAATTCATTTTTTCTTGTTAATTCACTGACTAATGGCTGCGTTGTTTTGATTTCTGGGTTCAATTCATGGAAAAGCGTGTTGGATTTTTTTATTTTATTTTTTTGAAAATTGATTTTGTGTTTCTTTGTGTGGAAGCAACGGAATAAGGGCTGTTTAAATTGAGTTATGCCCTTGTGAATTTAACTTTTTTTTTAATTGAATGTTGATGGTGTTTAAAAATTAGGTTTAAATTTTTTAATGCATGTCTATTTAATCACATGGTTTAACAAACTCTAAATTTCGATCCCTGATGGGGCTTTCGCCCGTCGAGGCTTCGATTTTCTGTTGTTGCATGGTGTATTAGAAGTTTGAGGTTTGTGTTTTTATTGTGTGATTTTTATTTTTTTTTGCTTGAAGAAAAAAAAAATTGTGTGAAAATGTGTGAAGAATAATGAGATTTGTATAAAATGTCCGAAGAAAAACGGAATTGAAATCACGATGAAAGAAAATTTCCATTGTAAAATTGAATTTCTGTTGTGGATTTATGTGTAATCGGGCATGTACGAGATCACGTAGAGTGTCGTTTATTGCGTTTCCATGCAATGCTACGTGATTGGAGTTTAATTTTATGTTCTACGCCACGTGTTGAATGCCGTTAGGTGATTTTTTGGTAATCCTCGATATTGGCATTTATTTAGATGTTAGATGCCCGAGGTAAAAAGCTGGGCATTGAAATTGAAATAAACGAGGCATATCTATAATTGATAAGCCCTTTAATTCCTGTGAAATGGTAAGTTTGGACTTAATAGAAAACAAATTACGCCTTTTCTTATGAATTTTATTAATGGGGGTGGGGGTTTTGGTGCTAAATTCGTCAATCTAACCTATTTTTGAAATGAAGGGAAACTTTGAGCGAAAACTGAAATAAAGATGAAAATTGTTGATTGCCGTTTTATACCTTGACAGGTATTAGTTGCTGCTTGATGTGATAATAGTTCATTGCAGAAATCCGAGGATAAAAAAATCATGTGAATGTTGGTGTAATTTTTTTACCGAAAAATTTTGCTCGAAATATTCTTTATTATCAACTTTTTATGGAGGGCTTTAAATAGTTTCGAGTTTCCCTTTTAATTCTCTTGTTATTTAGAACTGATTATAACTAAAGGGTTAATGTAAATAAAATTCATGGAATTTGACTTGAGTTGACTAGGGTTTACTATATAAGAGACTTGAATTTTCTCGATTGAATGAAAGACGAATCATCTGATATCAGCTTATCCTAAGCTATCTGCTGCAACTCAGCTCGTTCAAACTCAAAGATTCATCAGCTTTTTTGTATTTCTTGTGGGCTATTTTTTTTTTTTTTTTTGTGTGTGTGTTTCTATGAAGACACAAAATGATTGCTCCTATATTTGTGTCGCTTATTTCTCATGTATCACACGTTTCAATTGCAAAAAGAAATATAACAATTGCTTTCGTTTGTTACTTTTCACCTTTTTAGTCGAATTTCCTTTTGTACTTAATGACCCAATTTTTTTATTTTTTTTCCTTTCCCGACTAGGGTGGTGCTTCTTTGGAATCTCTTGCTAAAGGGGCTGTCCAATTCACTCGGCGGTACGCAATTCATGAAATACAGGAGCGCTGGTTCTCTCTCCTCTACGATCCAGTGGTTTCTAGCGAAGCATCATCTAACATGACCGAGCTCGAACTTTCCGGCTTCACAAACCAACCAAAGCCTCCCAACAAGTTCGAACCTGCAAAAGAGATGATGACATCATCATCAGCACCGTGCACTTCATCAAAGAGAAGATCCGAAACAATCCGTAAGTGCTACTACTCAATGCGTAAGAGAATATGCAACGAACCCTTCGACTTGACGGGCCTCAATCTTTTCTCAGACCCCACAAACTCCAATCTCGTCGGCCCAATTTCTGACGAATTGGGAATTCAAGAACCGGTCTTTGATATCCCCGACCCAATTCCCAACGGATTGGAAATTCAAGAAACCGACTTTGTTATGCGCGAACCGATTTCCAACGAATTCGGAATTCAAGAACCCGACTTTGATACCAATTACTTCTCCGATCTCGTCGGGCTCCACCCTTACCCTTACGAGGAGAATATTCCTCTCGGCGGCCCCCACATCGAGGCGCATGGAGGGTTCGACCAATCGAACGAGCTCCCTCTTCCTGGCCTGTACAATGACTTGGCGAATGCGGAGTTTGTGGGCAATAATTTCGAGCCACAAATCCCGATTTGGAATGACTCCCGAGTAATACATATCGGAGAGGAAGAAAATCCAGACCCCGAATTGCGAAATGTATTTTACGCTAATATCACAAATACTCTGTTTGAAGACTTTACTACCGATGCAAATAACGCAATAGACGATTCCTACATAGATCATTTTAGTGCAGTTCTATTGAGTTCTCCCATTCAAAATGAGGTGTCTACTGCCGATCCAGGTGAATCTGTGGTGGCAGCTGATGTGGCAGCTGCTCCTGTGGGGCCGGACGACTGTGGCTCCCACCAGTTCAAAGTTCCAGAAGCTGAGGTGGCGTGCCATGTGTTAGAGGTGAAGAATTTGGGTCCGGAATATCGCAATGGTGTTATTTGTTGCACGTGAACACGGAGGATATGGAAGTGCCGAGCAATGATGATGTATTTCTTCCATTTCGATTCCCTTCTTCTCCAACCGGTTCGTGTGGGGCCCACTGGAGATTGGAGGACCCTAGTTATTTCGTGTCCACGTCATCGGTTGCTCCTCGAAAAATAAAAAACCACCAAAAGAAATCGAAAAATCCGAGCAGTCAGCAGGGAGTTAAGTTCGAGTTGCCGAAGAGTAATGTGCAGAGTGCAGCGTTGAGAAATTCAAGAAACGGTGAGCCGTCTGCGAAAAATATTTGTTCGGGAAATGTGAGTGGGAACAATTTCGTTATGAAAATGGACGGGGCGCAGCAGAATCTTAATTATGGCCCATGTGTGGATAAGCCTGGCAATATGGATATTCTTGAAAACTTTCAAACTAATGCAAAAATTGGATTTGATGATGTGAAAGCGGAGATTCTAAACGATGGTTTGCCGAATGTTGACTTGACCTGCCAAACAGCAATTGCCCCTCATCAGACGAATGAGAACCCTATGCTATCGGATGAGGAAGAACGGTCCGAAAATGAATTTCATGTTCCTTATTTTTCCGATGTTGAAGCAATGGTAAAAAAAAAAAAAAAAAATCGACAGGGGTTCCTTTTTTATTATTAATTTTAAATTTGGATTAATTAGCATCCTCTGTTTGATCAGGTCGTAGATATGGACTTGACTCCCGATGAATTCAACATAAACGCCCATCCCGAAGGTAGTTTTCTATATATATATATATATATATTTTGAATAATTTGAAACTGTTATGCTAGAAATTAATTATACACTATAATGAAAAAAAATGTTTTACAGTATGTCGATATAATCACGAAGAAAGTAGGAGGACAATCATAAGGCTGGAGCAGACGGCCAATGCTTGCACGCAAAGAGCAATTTCTGCTCAGGGTGCATTTGCTGTTTTATACGGCCGCTGCTCTAAATATTATATAAGGAAACCCGAGGTATGTTGAAATACCTCATCTGCTCCTGTACCGAGTTTCTTGAAAATTTTATCATAAAAAATCATAATCTCGTTTTTAGGCACCTGTAGAGATTTTAACCGCGGGGGCAATTTTAAATTAAATAAACTTAATGTTGATTATTACGAAAGTTATGATGGTGTATAAATTCAATAAATACAATTGAGCTTTGACTTTTGGCCCTTCAGATTATATTTATTCCATGTGATGGAGTTTATATTTATTTTACAAAACTCGATAAATTTTTTTCCTATGTATTCGATGATCGATTGTCTTAGTGGTCAGTGATAGTACGAACAGTAAATATGGAACATCTGCTCGTATTATTTTGTGATACGAAAAAAAACTGATTCTTTTATTTTGTATTTTTTTATTTTCTTATTTTTGTAATGTTGTGCTTAATGTAAGTTATTATTGGCTTTTCAGGTTTTAATTGGCAGGGCAACTGAAGATAGTAGAGTTGACATTGACTTGGGAAGAGAAAAGAACGGTGGTAAAATTTCTCGACGACAGGTAAAATTATATATTCACCCACATCAATAAATTGCTACCCTTTTATTTATTTTTTTGGGTAATGCGAGATCAAGATTTAATTGTACGATTTTCTCGGATCCGATTAGGCTATTATGAAGATGGATATGTATGGAACATTCCAGATGAAGAATCTTGGAAGATACCCGATATTCATTAACGGGATAGAAGTAGCAGCTGAACAAAGCATACCCCTTATTTCTGGCTGTATTATCGAGGTACTATTTCATTACAATTTTAGCTCCAAAATATCGTATTTTTTCAAAATAGTTTTTTGCGCCATATTTTATACAATAATGTAATATTATTGTCTGAATTTCAGGTCAGGGGATTGTGTTTCTTGTTTGAGACGAACCATACTCGTATAAAGCAGCATGTGGATAGCGTTATGGACGGAAGATTTCTCGTGGGCCCGTAAACCTTCGAACGTGAGCTGAAAAAAGATCGATTTTCTTGGGGTGCTATTTATACCCTTTTTAAATTGGTCATACATAGTTTAGCTTAGTCGATGTATAAGCAACGGCTCGGGATTTTTAGGAACCACATTTTTTTTCTTGTCGTTTGCTCGTTACCGCAATACTACATGTGTTTTTCACCTTAGCTATACTTTTTTTTTTTTTTCTTCTTTCTTTTAATTGGAAGACAATTAACTTAGTTTGTTTATGAAATAGAGACCACATTTTGTTATCTTGGAAAGTTTGTCCCTATGTATATTTATTTCTCATGAAATTAGCAGATGTTCTGTAATGGCATGGACTGCAAGTATGTGAATGGTGCGAGGAGAAAATAGTGCGATTTTGGGGGTTAGAAATACAAAATCGATTTTGGGGATAAATTACACTTGACCCCCTTATACTTTGGCTTCGTATGACTTTGCCCCCTTCTGCTCTTAATTGCCTCGATTTGCCCCCTACACTTGAAAAATTGTCTCAATGTGATCTCTCTGTTAGTTGTTAGACCTATGACCTTAACATCGTTTGTTCTTCTGAAATTAAAAAAAATGCCACAACTTCCAGTTTAAATAATTATTAAAAAAAAATAAAATGATAAAAAAATCAAGACGACGAGAAAACATTGTGCACGACGCCAATCACAATTTTTCTTTTAATAATTCTTTAAACTCTGAGGGATGGTTTTTTTTGATATTTTCAGACTTGATCAAACGGTGTTAAGGTCAAAGGTCTGAAAACTATTGGGAGGGCCACATTGAGACAATTTTTCAAGTATAAGGGGGCAAATCGATGCAATCGAAAGTAGAAATGGGGTAGAATAATATTGAGCCAAAGTGCACGAGGAAAGTCGAATTTACCCTAAAAAGAAACAATGTTTATAAGCCACCACAATTGTTATTTATTTTTAATTAATAATTTTATCATTATAAACTATTTACATTATAATAAAGAAAACGATAAGATAAAAACACAGTTTTTTGTTTAATTTTTTATGCATGCATGCATGCATCATCCATAATAATAATAATAATAATTATTTATTTATTATATTTGTATATATAATAAAAATTAAAAAACAGCTCAAGGAAATAAGAAAAAATAAATAAAAATATTTGTTGGGCCGATTTCGATCCAATTTATTGTTCTATTAACTTGGGCTTTATGTATAATTATCTGCACACTAGTCCGGATAGATTGTAAATTTGTATGAGTTTTGGCCTTTTTGATGTATTATGGTTCGTGATATGTAGGGGTATTCATTTGTCCGGTTTACTGTTAAAAAACGAACCGGTTAGCTAATTCAGTACGTGTCGAATACCAAATTGTAAATTTGTATTCGACAAAGAATAAATTCTTCTCAAATTTGGCATCGAGCACGATATTCACTAAGCAGAACCGGTGTGCCGAATTGTAGTGTACCATATCATTTTAGAGGAAATTAGCAGATAGATTTTATTGTTTTTCTTAGAACTGATGCCGCTTAAGTACACTCACGAATCTTCAAGCTCAAGTAAATCAGAAAAGCAGAGTCCCTATTGTGTGTCCAAGATGAACGTTGGGTTACTATCCGAATGTCAAGCGATAGTCCCCGTGCAGAGTAGAATTCTTCGCTCGAACCTAAAAAATCGAGGTAAGTAAACACTAGGCGATTCACCGGAGTTGGCCCGACTATTAACCTCCGACAATCAAATCAGCGGGAATATTCTTCGTATAGTAGAAAGCTCTCTAAATCGTCAAGAAAATAGAATCTACCTTAAATGAATCATAAACATAAGTTACCCTAGTAAATATTTGTACATATGAATATAGCATGGAATTAACCAGAAGAGAAGAAGATAGTCTTGCATTGGTTGAATTTTTTTTTTCTTTGAAAGAGTAGAATTAATATTATATGAGCTGTATCTTCTCTTTAAAAATAAATTACAATAAAATAAAAACAATTGCAATTTAATAAATAGTGAATTAATTTGTTGCAGAAAAATAAATAAAGTTATAGGGCAGGTGCATGTAAATGCACGCGAATCAGATCTGAAGAATGATATGCTGGAATAGTGGAATCAATCTCATGTGAAATCTTATACTTATCTTCTTCAATTATTAAATTATAATTACTATTATATTATCTTATCATCTGTATTTTACGTCATTTAAATATTGTCTCAGACAAAAAGTGTTATTTGTCGTCTTCTGCTTAGCTGGCCCGCTGCCGACCTTAATCACAATTAACTAATTAAGCTATAATCGGATTTTCTCTTAGATATATTTTAGTAATTAATTAGACTAATTTTTTTTTTCTTTTGAATGATATATTTGTAAATTATTAGTGCCGACTTACGGAACAACTAATAATTTTCCTTTATCGTTTATTCTTATGTACCACGGAAACTTCAACTTGTTAACATTTTCGTGTTTCAAAAAAGTTTTGTGTCGAAAACTCAAAAAATACCTGCCGGACACTTTATGGGTCATTTTGCAATTTCTAAAAAATTAGAAACATGTTTGACTAGCCGATTTTTAAATATTTTTGTTGTTTTCCCAAATTATTTACATGATTTAATGACCAAATTGCAACTTGATAGTTGATTGTAAAATTTATTTTGAATATGTTTGCATAAAAATATTTAAAAATAATTTATATAAAAATAAAAACTTATATATGTTGATATAGAATATTTGTAAATATACCCCTATACTTTTAATATTTACATGTTTCCCCCAAATTTATGTACCACGTTTCCGTTTCCCCATATCTTCATTTCCGTTTTTGTGCTACATAGATTTTTTTTTATACAATATTTTTAATTATGAAGTGATTATAGGGCAATAAATCAATAATTACTCAATGGTTCACATGGGTACTAATTTGCACATTTTTGATGAAAAAGGAGTTGAAAATAATTATGACAGCAATTAAAGACAACATTAATCTTTTGAGATCTGGCCTAATTATCAAATCTTACCTACTGATATGACTTTGTTTCGTGCCAAATAATCAATTTAAGCTTGCCGTAATTTGAAATTAAGCCAATTCAATTTTCCAAGTAATTTGTATTACTAATCCGTTGACAATTTTGATGTTGTAAAAGTGCTTTTAATATTGTTCCATTAAAAGAATTAATCATTATTTATACCTTTTAAAGTGGTGTTTGCGAAAGTTTATTTAAAGGGATAATTAGCGAGACCCCCTCATCTAGGAAAATGAGTTAAGGAAACACCCACTTTCAAAAATAATTAGAGAAAGCCCCCTTAGCTAATATCCACTCAAATGATATTTTCATAATTTCAAAACTACCTTTAATTGTCTACTATACTCTTTAAAAACACTAATTTTATTTTCTCTTTTCCGTCTCTTCTCTCGCGTCTTTTCTCTGTTTTTTGTTTTTTCTCTCCTTTATACTTTTCTCTCATTTTCTCTTATCGGAAGATGAAGAACCAACCACCGACATCACCGCCAAAACAACGATGCCAGTTCCGTTGAAGCCGTCGCCGTCGTTGTCGTTGTCGTCTCCGTCGCCGTCGCCATCGTTGCAGATCTTAACAAAAGCCATAAAGATGATGATGAGTTTGATAGCGATTCTGAGTTCGAATGCCACGATTGCTACATCGGCGGCGAAAAGAGGTAAAATTGTCGATCGGAATCGAATTTTGATGGGTGGTGGTTCTGCTTTAGTTGGTGGTGCGAGTTGTGATTTTATTTATTTATTTGTAATAAAAAAAACTGTCATAATATCAAAGTAAGGTGGTGATGGTGAGTTGTGGCGGCGGTGTGGTGACGATGGGGAGGCAAATTTAGGGTTTTTTGGTGGATTGGGTGGATGACGGCGCGTGTAGAGAATTTCTCGCAGGCTAAAACCTTAATCGACTTGGTACATGTTCATAGGCGATTAAGCTAATCTACTATGTTCTGGTAGTCAATTAAGGTTGATCGACTCCATTATTTTACTTTTATTTTGGATTTTTTGTTTACTGATTCCAAGTGTATAAATAAATTATAATGTTTGTATATTTTTTGCTTTTTGTAAAATATAGTTGATTTTGCATTTTTTTGCAATTATGATTTGTTATGTTTAGTAGCAGATTCTTAATCGACTATGCTTCATCATAGTCGATTAATATACATGATATAGAAAAAAAAATTAAAAAACAAAAAAAAAAAAAAAAATTTAAAGATTTTCCTTAATCGACTATGAAGCATAGTTGATTAAGGCTAATCGGCTATGCTTCATAATCGATTAAGGAAACCGATACAGAAAAGAAGGGGAAAAAAACGGAAAAAAAAGAAAAAAATAAGAAAAAAAAGAAAAATTCGCTGAGCGGCGACCCAGTGATGATGTTGCGGCGGGGGCAAATTTGGATAACATAATGGCTCAAAATGGGTGTGAGTTTTTCTCAAATGGACTAAAATATTTTGGACCTCTCTCCATTAAAAAAAACAATGAGGGGGTTTCCTCAAAGAGCCCCTTATTTAAAAACAAAAGTTATGGATTGTGAATTAAGTTGGTTATAAGTATTTCAAAAAGTTGGGGGTGTTTGCAAATTTACTGGAAAATGAACTTAAATAGTAAAAATAGGGTCGTGTGTGCTTAACAAATTATAGTTTAAAGCTGCTTATTTTAAGAGAAGTGTAAACAAAAGTATATTTTGCAAATACTTAAAAAATAGATTATGAGCAGCTCATAATCTATTCGTAAAAGTTTTTGCAAACACCACAATCTAACTTATTATCATAATTTATCTTGTAAAGTATTTAGTCTCCAATCTCAATCAAAATTCACCATAAAATAATTTTAATATCAAACAAGAATTTTTTGTTTTTATTTCTTAAATTACATTTTTGATTTTTTTTGGAGTTTTCAATCTATAAAATTTCTATCTATTATAAGAATTTTATTGTATAAATAATTTTAACTCACTCAACTAATCTCTTGCTCATTATAACTTATTTTATTAATTAATATCTTAAATATTTGCTTTTTTGTGTTTGTGCTGTTTTTTCTTCAATAAATATCCCTAAAAGGTCAATGTCCCGAACCTCCAATAGATTTTACTTTAATACACCCACTCAGATTTTCCCGATCGAAAAATCCTGGTTCCGCTCCACTTCACAAACGTGTCCTTTTTGTTTTTGAAGGACAACTAAGGAAGCACTCTCACTCGCTTGGTCATGGGAATAAATTAATTGAAAGATGTAACTTAAAAGCCAATTATTCTAATAATCCATTTGCAAAATTATG